TAAACCCAGTTATCCTGATGACTTAGTCTGTCCTCACTTCCAGTCCTCAAATACTAAATATTATGGCCGTCTCCACTGGACAGTGGAAAGAACAGAAGGCAAGCAATCCAACTTAGTCACCATGTTCCTCTGTTAGTTTTTGTCATGGATTTAGCTTCTTTGGCAAATTGAAAGCAATATAAATGTTAACTTCAGTAAATGTTCACTTCAGGTGTCCGCTCTGCTTGAATTTGGGGAATGAAAATATTTTTACGGTGATAAATGAGTGCCTTTCAGAGACAGGAGAATGAAACAAGAGCTGTGCAATAAACCTGTGGGGGTCCAGCATTCAAAATATTTAATTTCTCTTTTTGCACATCCCCATGTGTGTAATTCAACATACATTGGCTACAGATTAAGGCAACAATGATTGAGAACTACTCTCCAGCAAACTAAAAATACTAAAAAATGGATAAGATGGGTGTTAGGACTCAGCAGTACTTCCCCCCTCTCTGCTAGACCTTTCCATCATCGCTGACAGTACAGTAACGACTCCTGCCAGAAACCAGCAGGAGATCTAACTTGATTCAAGAAGGAACTGTCATACATGCCCACAATGCACCTGAGTATGGAGGCTCTGTCTCTCAAAAATCAAAACAGATCTTTCCTCACCCAAGTCTGTACCTGGCTCTTTGCTCAAACTTTAATCATCCTTTGACTTGACCACACCAACTGCAGCCTGGGAGCTGTTATCATCCTTTAATATTTGCACTTCCACTAATTTCTCCTGGAACAAGGCTAATAAGACGAGCTGCACCCGGCACCATGCAGCTCATACAGTGCCCTAACTTCTGTCACCACATGCTCCGTTAGACAAGTCATATTTGGCCTCATTTCCATCTCTCTCTGAAATGTGGAATGACCTTATCTCCATTTGGCTTCGCACAAATAACTTCTTATTTTCTGAACTCTCCCCAAAAAGTACATCAGGCACCCTCTAAGTCCACACTTCATATCTGTGCTGAGCTAAACTCCTAAAGGGGCTGGACAGGAAGAGATCCAACCATTCTTCTGAACATGAAATACAACAGCTAAATGGATATGATAAAGTCACCACTCAAATATCTATACAAAAATATGTTTTCATCAACTTCATGTGGAAGAGCAAACATTTGTGTAGCAGACAGTGCACACATGCAAGAATTGAGACAGGCAGGAAGAAGAGCAAACAAAAATCACTGTCATACACATGTTTCCTGCTCAGGCCAACACAACCTTACAAATGCAGTGTGTCCACATAAGAGGTGATAAGGTAACATTGCCCATAGCATGTGAATGCTTTTTCAGTAGAAATGTAGAGTCCAGCAGTTTTTTCTATTTTTCATCAATCCTGACAGCAGTCCTCACAGCACAGCCTGCTGCAACTTGATGCTTTGACCCTTCTACACAGCAGTTTGTGTGTCTGTGCTCTGTCTCTAACTTCTAAACGAGCATCCAGAAAAGATCAGAAAGCATTCAGCAACAGCCCTGAATGTGTTGCGCTAACTGAGTTGCAGGTCCTAGAAAAACAGATGTAAAACTGCTGCAATGAACCATTGAGCAGTCGCCTTAAAATCACAGTTTCCCTCACAGAAGGGATAATAATCATGTCAATCATGTAGGCCAGCAGAAAACACAAGTAGGAAGTGATGGAAACTTTACCTGAACAATAAGCTTCCATTAGAATGAACGGACTGGTGTGTTTAGATATTCAACCTATGATTGGTGTGCATGGCTAATACAGGCCTTTGACAAACTGCAGAAGGAGAAGCAAGGTTAAATGAAATAGATTAATCATGGTTGAAATCTATTTAGATGTCTCACTTTCAGGGTCCTGGATTGATCATGGTGACTCATTGTCATGACTTATTGTAGGCACTTGAGGAGAACAGAGCCTTTGTTAATGTTAGTAACACCTGGGCTTCTTCTATGACGACAAGTCAAAATATATACCTTCAAAGATGCCCATTAAGGCAAATAATCAACTGTGTGACTTGAAATATATATATTTATCTAAAAATGTTGTTTTGTTTGGCCAACAGTACGACATCAAAAGAAATTCAGTTTGCTGTGGTGTTTAACATAATATTAGTATCGATCATTTTCTGAGCAGAATAAAGTGAAACAATTCATTATCTGTTTAAAACCAAAGAATCTAACATTTCTTTCCCTTCAACATCCAGTCACTATGAGAGGGAAGATATAAAAATATGTATCTACAGTGTGTGGAATTAATCACATCATGATCTTTTGCATAAATTGTATTATTTTTAACAATTAACACAAGTCACTATAGCTGGAACAATGCACATACACACATTTAAACTTGTGCATTGTCCACATATACTTGTGTGAATGAGAAGAATCCACACCAAAACCAGTAACAGTGAGCACAAAGCATTAAGACATTTCATGTACCAACACCATAAATATTCTATTTTCAGCCAGTTTGGTTCAAAACTAATTTTACATCGCAACATTGCCAAAATGATCTGAATAGCTGAAAGTCTGCCAGGGGCCTGGGTGGTGACAATACTCCTGTTGCCACAGAGGAAAATTAACCATTGAATATATGAATGAGTCAGTGAAGGCTATGAAGGTTTCCTCTCTTGACAATTCTTTTATGTCAGACCATTCTTGAGAAACTCTGTTTTGTGCTGTCAGAAGGATGTGACTGCTCTGGGGATTGTAGTTAAGCATATGAAACAAATTCTCTGTAAGGGCTGTCAATTAGTAAGGTAGCACCTTCCAGCAGCCACCCAGTCTTTGATTACAGTCATTCAGCACTTATACTCTTCACTTCCTCTTCATTTGTCTGTGATGTCTGCCACTTGGTTTATTTAATTACAGTCAGATTTGAAGCTGCCACCTTCTCTTCACAGCTGACAAAGTCAGCAGAGTGGAAACACAGCCGCCAATATGGAAGTTTTTGGACCCTTTCAGTCAAAAAACATGAAGGTGATAAAACATTTGATGAAACTAAACTGACACTTATTGATTCATGGATCCTCATCAGGTGAGGATGCAGACTTTATTTCCTGTGACAAGCAGCTTTAGATGTTTAGCACAACTAGTGCAGTGCCTGTTCTAAACTTGCCTGTTTGGACTGTTCTGTTCTCTTCTCCTGTGTTAATGCTCCAGAGCCACTTCAGAATAATTTCTTGTCATTAGTGAGTCCTCCTCAAACTGTTCTACAATTAATTGTCGCGTTTTATAGTTTGTGTGTTGAATGATGTGTGCAGAGCTTTTTATAAACAGTCTATGGTGCAGAGTGAAGTTAAAACGTTTGGTGTTCATCCTACCTTGTTTATCTGCAATTAAATCATTGTACGTCCATGATCAAATTAGTTCTGTTTTTTGTTTTTTTGTACTGATTTTATAGTAAATTTTTTTCATTAAATGAAACTGAAATTGCTTTATTACTGTTCTCATGGTTGGTTTATGTATAAGTTTGAATGATTTACATGAGTGATGTTATTTTTATATACATTGAATTTTGGCTATTTCAGAGGTCTGTTAAGCAAGTTCACATTTTTTCAAAATAAAGCCTCTTCAGTTCAGCTTGACTTAAAGCATCGCAGCAAGAAAACAAATTCTGTGCTTTTACTTTGTAGACAAATTGCTAAAGAAAAAAGTGATTCTATCAATCAGATGAAGTGCCATGGTGGAAGACAGGACCTCAACAATGTCTGTCAGTGCAATATGGTTAAATAAAGAAATTTAATTATCAAAAAATGATCAGGCTGTGATTTTGGCCGGTGGACAGCCATTTTGTTTATTCAAAGTTTATTGATCACAACAAATTCAATCCTGCACTTCATTGGGCCCCTTAACAATACGCATGCCAAGTGGGAAGCTCATAAGATACATACAGAATGAAACCTCAAATTCATATTCAAGACAGCTTAAATTCTGCCTTCAGAGCATATCAGGTTTTAACATCAAAACTACAGCCACAATAAAGAAAACAAAATTGAGTCATCAACAAGAAATGACTAGCTTTGTAAATAAAGGTTTGCTAAGCCAGCTCCATACAAACCATAACAACGTTTGCCTGGAAGAAACTCAGCTAAGCCTGCAAACAATTCAGAGTTTGTTTCAAATGATCTAAACATAATTGTGAAAACATCCAAAATGTCCTTTTGCTGAGATGTGGAAGCAACTTGGGAGAAATGAGCTAAATGTGAAGAGGCTGCTAATCCCTGGTGGGGCTTGATTAGTCTGCAACGTTGGAAAAGCAGTTGTTTGTCATATTGTGGCAATAAGTATGCAGGAATGTATGGGTTTACAGCCCATTAGTAAAATGTTAACTGAATAATGCAGGGGAAAACACCTCTATACCTGTATATATGCATATACAAACAGACCCTTATAGCATACATATGTATACAGTGCATGCAAAAGGGAAAAAGAGAAATATATGTAAAAGTAAAAGTAGACTTGATTAAATGATTAGCCGAGAGATAAGGATATTTAATGCCTGATTAGCTATAATGTAGGAGTAATGAAGACTAATCACTGAGACCTTGATTTTTTTTCCCTACAAGAGTGTGCAACTACTGTGAGTGCACAGTTTCATGCCACCGCCTCACTTCAACCCTTTTCCAAAAAAAAAAGAACCTGCCACAGCTTGAGCTCATCTTGAAACTTGCTCCCTGTCACTGTGTCTCCACGGCAATGCAGTTGACTGACAGCAGCTGACATGTGGCCATCGGGCAAAGAGACAAATGAAGGCATCTCAAGTCTGGAGAGTTAAGGTGTTTTGCAGTGTGCAGTAGTGTCCAGATTACAGTGAATGCATTTGTTTAGCCTTTTGCTGTCCATGTTCTCAGGCACAATCAGATTAGAGTGTGTCAGTAGTGTACATTCACACATCTGCTAAAGATCTGTATGTTTTGTTTGAGAAAAATAACAATTCTATAATAGCTTTTGGTCGAGTTTTTGTATATGTCACATCTAATAGATTGCTGAGAGCTGAGAACATGGCGACATTACAACACTCTGACCAGGGCATGAAACACAAGTTATCAGACATCATGCAGGTTGTGAACAAGCAGTCAATTGAGCCGGATAATATTGGTTGTCGTTACACAGGAAAAATTGTTTGTGCAATAATGGTATGGTAGGTTAAAGCTGAAGCCCAAAGTTGGTCTGTATTACTGCAGCATTTCCAGATGTCAGGAGTCAATGAAATAGTTTAACATTTTGGGAAATTTAACATGGTAAACATGGCTGGAGCCAATAGACAGCTAGCTTAGCTTAGTAATAAGACTGGAAAGAGGAGGAATAGTTAACCTGAAGGTCACTCCATCTGCCCTAGAAGCACCTGTCATGCTCACTACTTAATATATTATAGTTTGTTTTCCAGGTATCCAGCAATGACATCATGAAGTCAACACATTTTAGATTTGAATCAAACAATTGAAACATAACATTAAAAAATTTAACTCCTGATAAGAATGCAAGTGAATGTATATTCCCTAACTGTCAGTCTCTTGCTTTAACTTGTCAAAACTTTAAAGTAAGTCCTAAAATGTTTAATGTGTGAAAATAAGAATGTGAATATGTGGGTTGGTAAATTACTGTTAACATGTCTGGACTTAAAGTTTACGTGTGAGGTCAATGGATGCAAAATTCAATGATATATGACATTAAGTTGTGTCATTGTCTTCCTCTTGATTAGACTTCTTCTTCAGGTATGCAGGATGAATGAATGAAAGTATGTCTGTCTGTTTCCTGCCCTCTCCACCTCTCTACAACTCTGGGAAACAACTCAACAGTGATAGAGTGCAGAAGTGAGAGAGACTCCTCTCCTCCTCATAACAACTCTCTGACAGTTCAGATGCACCATGACAGCAAAAGTCAAGAACATACACACCTGAACACATGGCGTGTAGATTCCTAGCTTATTAACATATTATTTCTCTTCCTCCCTCTCTCTTCCTGTCATTGTGTCCAGGTGAGAGGAATCAACCCATCGATGAGCAGGAAACGTGAGCAGCGTGTGTTATTCATGGTGGTGGTCATGGTGATATGCTACCTCTTGTGCTGGCTGCCGTACGGCACCATGGCCCTGCTGGCCACTTTCGGGCCCCCAGGCCTGGTTACGCCTGAGGCAAGCATCATCCCCTCAGTCCTGGCTAAGACAAGCACGGTCATCAACCCAGTCATCTATGTCTTCATGAATAAACAGGTGAGAGAGGGATGGAAGGAGGGAGGGGTGCAGCGAGGGTCAGGGCCTTTTGTCTTTCACTGTCACAACGCAGCGGGAAAAGAGCATCTCATTTACTGAGGCCAGTCTGCTTCACTGTTTACAAGGTGGTTTGTATTTAATGGAAATGAGCCTGTGGTTTGTTTTCATATCAGATTCTATTCTAATGCCTTCTTTTATGTCTATTACATCCTGTGTGCAGACCTGTGTGGGTCTCACTGAAAATATGTTGCACACGTATGATGGATTTCTTTGTAGACGTGTATCGGAAAGCATCACAGGGTTCAATAATTATCCATCTGATGAAACAAATGCTGCAATAAGTGGTTAAGAGTCACCGCCTTGATCTCTTTGACTCCATCTTGTCTAAGCTGGCACTTTGGTGCATCTCAGGCCACATTAAACAAATCGAATATATTTTGTGATCAACTAACTCAAGCCTTTCATGTGATTGTAACCTAATCCTGCTCATTATCAAACTAGAAAGGGTATTTGCAATGTCACGAAGGTGCCTGTCGTCTGAAGTGTTGATAATTAAAAACACACAGTATGTCTCAATTAACCTTGGCCCATCCCCACTTCAGACAACATGGTGAATAGCTTTGGGAGTTATCTGCACTTGTGAGCCACGATTCTGCAGTTGTTGTTAGTGGCTGGGGACTATGATAATGTTTTATTAGCTTTTCTGCTTTATTTAATTTTTAAGTTGCTGTGAGGAGATGAATCAGAACTGACTCAAAACCATGAGCCCATGACTTGCCGGTAAATTATTACTGTTATCAGTGACTGCTGAAATGAAAAGTGCTTTTTCTGAACATAATGTGTGACACATTCACATTTAAAAACTTTTTTCAAATCTGTCATCATTCATAACATTAAAAGAACATGTTGGAAAATATGCTTATTTCCAGTGTGGTGGAGTTAAATGAGAAGTTCAATACTACTTTGAAAGTGAATAGGTCAAAAGCATGTATCTGATTAAATGTTAAATAGTTGATTAAAGTAACCAAACAACCCATCTAACTTTAAACCTAGTGAAATAATCATAAATGTTCTCACCATGGCAGAATATAGTGTGTTAATGTAGGATTCCATAGCAGGATGCAGGTTGAGGTAATAAGTTCCCAGGATTTCATATTTTTGACATATATATTTTTTTTTTTTTTTGTCACATATGCCTGAAACATCAGTACAGCACTGAAAGTACTGCAAACAAATGGCTGTCTCAAAGTCAAAAGATGTTTGTCTGGGCTGGCAGCGTCAAAACCCCGACAGAGCAGGTTGTGCTCATGCTCTTCTGGATGAAGGGGCAGAGAGATAAGAGACAGGAGGAAAAAGCCAAAAGACAGCCATGGTTGAGAAGTGAACTGAAACATTCGTTTCATGTTCTACCTCTAGTGGCCGACATGTGGAGAGCCATATCTGATAGCTGTACCTGCATACTAGATCACTGAGTGAGGAGCAAGGGATATACAGCCTTTGTATTCAAAATATTAATCACAGCAGACCTAACAAGCACTGCCACTTTTATCATGCAGCCCTTCCTCGTGTGTGTTTGTTTGAGGGTGTGTGTGTTATATTTAATTCAATCCACAGCCTGATGAAAACAAGCATGTTTTTGTGGAAAGATTCATTGCAGCCTCTATTTTTTTTAGGAATTTCATGTTCAGCCAAGATGGAGCCTAGAGTCCAAAATAATGTTCGAGTTGGATACGAGATCTTCCTCAGAATGAGATCAGGCTATTTCCAGCAGAGGTCTTTGGTGAATTCAAATCAGATTTAATGAGACACATTGCTTAACCAGTAGGGGCACTGATGCAGTTTGTCCCAGGAATTCTAAGAGGGCAAACTAATCCACACAAGGTCTTGATCCTGATTTTTTCTAAGGTAATGGCCGATTGTGTTGATATCACTTCAACGTAGATCTCTGTTTCCATCTCTGCCCAATTCTCATATGGATGGATATAAATATTTCATTAACAGGCAAGCACTTCAGTGAAGCGGTGATCCCAAACCTTGGAGAAAACATTACACACGTTTCCCCTCCGACACACACACACACACACACACACACACACACACCCACTCTGGTCAATCATGCTTTTTGAGACAATCCAAGATCTTCCTAAGGTATTGTTGATATTAAGCCCCACTGGCTGCCTGGTGGTTCAATCTAAAATAGTACACTTATGGATATACAAGATATGCATAGTTATTATAGCTTTCCAAGAAATGTTTTCATATCTAAGAATAATTGATAGTATAACTTAAATATGCCAAACCCAAATAAAATGTTTATTTTATCTAATCAATTTGTAACTTTGTTAGTTGCATTTGAATCTATAGGGGGATTAGGAAATAGTTTCCTTATGTGAGGAAAAATTAAACTGTCTATTTGGTTAATGTGTTGTCAGCTTTGGAATGGCTGAAACCATTAGAAAATTTAGTTTCTAATAATGTGATTAACCAAATTGCAAAGTGCAAAAAATGGGAGATCATTGGGGCCACAGGGGCGTCCTCGTGAGTTAATCTGATTTATATTCTTCATTTACTTTACTTGCTGCCTCTGCGTTATATTATATGCTTGCTTTGCTTTATTCGAAGCTTTAAAGCATGTGTTAATCATTGGAACATAACTATTACAGACACAGTCGATAATGAATATTAATGCAAAAACATTTTCACTACATTAGTTATTTATTTACCAACTTGTAAAAAGGGAATGTGCTACTATATGCAGCATAAAGGCAAAGGTATAACAGCTGCTGCAAAAACTTCTGCATAGTTCAACTTGTAGTTTCCACAAGGAAGTTGATGTAAACATTTCTTTGCAGATTGACAGAATGTATTTACATAATGGAGCATCAGTGTAAACAGAGCTTGTTTTAAAGTTTTAAACAGTTTGGGTTTTGACTGGTGGAGACTACCCTGCATTTTCTTGGCGTGTTTGGGAAAGCTGCTCTGCAGGTGAATGACAGGTACAGTGCATGAAGCTATAAGTGAGCACAGTCAAGTTTGAACACAATCCATCAAAATACTGGGAAGACTTTCAAGAGAGCCTGCTTGGAAATAGACAGAATTGGACTTTTCTGTGTCTTCGTGAAAGTTTTTGTTTCACAGGCTCCTATTTTTTTTCATGATTTCCAGTTTATAAAAAGCGTATACACGCTTGTCACTGGATTCACTCAAAAATTTGCATCTGGTGTATTGAGTATTTCAGCTATTACACAGCTGCTGTGTAACACATCAGAAAAGACGACCAGAGTTGCTAAATGAAAATTTACAGAGCTTCCTGAATGGGATTTGATTTGTATGAATTTATAGCTTCGTAAACAAGTTATTAACATAAATCCCTGGCAGAGGACTGCAGGTGACTGTTATCCTTGGTTAAGAGATGATAAAACTACTCTCACGTAACTCATCATTGAAGAAAATTGACTGCCTCTTAGTTTGATTTATAGTGTATAATTTGGATGTGTAGTGGTCCAAGTTAACTCAAAAATACTGCACCACTTTCTTCTTTGTACTTCCTTATCAAGTTCCTCCCTCAAATAAAAACTCTTTGTACTAAACAATACATTTAGACTTAAGATTTAAGATGTTTTGTTCCTTTCTGAAACACTCTTCATCATAGAGAGAAAAAATAACAAAAGATAAACGTCCTCCAGTCCCACTGAGGCCGACAGTTGAAACTTTTTTCCCTCCCTCAGTGTAATCTTTACCATCTCGCTCTGGTCTTTTAAGTGAAGCACAAAATGCTGTGTAGGGTTTTTAGAAAATAATTCCATTCAAACAGAAAGATTTCATGTGCCGTACAGAGATTTATATACAGTACTGTCTGCTGGAGACTAAATCTTATCAGCTTCCAAAGCTGCTCAAGTACAATACTTTGCTGTGAAGCATTGCTCACACACTTACTGTTAAGATGGTTTTTATTGTTGGAAATCAACACAAAACTACATTCAAATTAATCTAAAGGTCTGTGTTCCACTCCAAAGTGTCATTGGGCAAGTGTGTGTGTATGTGTGTCGTGTAAAGAGAGTTCAGTGCTCAATAAGACAAGAAAAGCACTAAATAATTGCAGTCCATTTGCCATGTTGCTCTGTCATCAGAAGGTGTGTGCGCCGCCATTTCTCCGCCGTCTGTTCCGTGTAGCACTCACTTTCTACTCAAGCTGCCGCCGACACCGCGGCAGCCATCTGACCTTACAGGGACATTTTAGCCCACACACCATTGACCTCATAACAGCGAGAGAGGGAGAGAGACACCAAATGTCCTGTATGTCATTTTCAGTCTTCAATTCCTCCCAGCCCGTTACTATGGAAACTGTGAGTTGAGGCGAGTTGAAGACTAAAAATGCTGTACAGATACAAGTACCAGCTGGTGTGCGTTTGTCCCAGTAATGATCAGCAGGGGCCACGTCCAAGTGGGCGTCAGGACATGCACGGAAAAACCGAGGAGTTGTGGGTAAGTTTTCCCTGAATTGTCTTCTCATGACTGCATGGTGGTATTTACTGGGTCAGCTACATCAGAACACTGCTAAATCATTACAGTTGCCCCATAGAGTCTGGTGCCTACACAAAAACATTGAGTGAACATTGATAAGGAATATAAATGTTTCTAAATAATCTACTTCGAAGTTTGCTTGTTAAATCAATATTTCTCTCGCTTCTCTTTGTCTTCATCCACTTCTCTATCAGAATGAAGGCTGGAGCTGCGTGCTAGAGAGGCCTGTATACTGTACCCACAGTTTCAAATTAAAAGTACCTTGCAGAGTCTTGTAATTGTGATATTGCAGCAACCTCAGTAATGTCAGACATTGCAGTGGGTCACCAATCTCTGGAGACCTGACTAGCTTCTTGTTTTTTGATAATTTGCTGCTCCATGCTAAGCTAAGACAAGTATTTAACCTTTCAGCTAACTCAAGAAAAGAAAGTGAATGAGCATTAATTTTCAAAATGTCAAACATTCACATTACCGTG